TGTGAATATTCTCGACTATCAGGTGCTCTGCTTTCACTATCTCCTCGTCCGTCCCTTTAAAATAGATTTTATTTTAACAATTGATAATAAAATCAAAATCTATTCCAAACCTCTGTTATAATTATCACCGAAATTGTTGCCTCCGATCATAAACACCAATACCTTTGGGACCAAACCATCCAACTCTTTGTGATCTATTCTCCACAACACTTGTCGAGTACTGTCCCCTCCGATGCCATAATTAAAACCCCCTCTTTTCACATAGTATTCATTCCACACATCCCTTCCCTCCGTAACCCAACCCTCAGTCTTGGAATCCCCAAAGAATACAATTTTGATATCATTTTTGTGCTCTTCAGTCGTGTTAACCATCTTTTCGTGTCTATCCCTCCAACCCGTGGGGTTCTGAGTGCCAAACCAACCCCAGGCCGGCACCCATGGCTTGTCATAAACGGGTGGCCCTTTGGTTATGTCCGGATCGGCGAGGGATACACTTATAAAGCATATAATTATTAATGGAAAATACATTTCCCCAATAATTAAGAATTCCTATTATAATTATATTAAAAATAAAACTTATGGTCTATTGATACTTATATTTATCAAAGTTATCAAAATTTTATTCTTATTTATATTGGTTTAGAAATTTGTATTTAAGTTATGCTCTGTTTTTGCAATTATCTATTGATTGTTATTTTTTGACAGGTTTATGGATTCACATGAATTGAAATCCTGTTTAAATATTATATTTTTTACTGGAACTTTTTAAATGAAATCACAAATCCTATTAATATAAGATTATTAGTTAATAACTTGCTGATTTATTTATTAAAAATATATCTATAATCCCAATGAGTTTATTGATTAAAGATACAAATAATTTTTATCATAATATATGAACTCACTTTGGTAAACTGGTTAATCATTGTTTCATAATTGTATTGTAATAAAAATTATGATACTATTTTTTAAATGCTATTATTTATTTAATATTTTAAAATTGTTATATTGTTTGCTATGTAAAGGGTATTACTGTAATTACCATAAAACATTTGGTTGAATAATATTTAACAAAAATGTAAAAATGATAATAATTTCAACTAATTTAGATACTAAAAACAATAAAATTGAAAAACATAAGTTTTTACTTAAACAGTAAAGTATTCATAATTTGAATACAATTAATAAACTCAAATATCTTTAATAAATGGTTCAAAATTTTTTGCTAATATTTGATATCCGTCTTCATTAAGATGAATGCCATCAGAGATAAAAAGTTTAGTATTTTGTTTGTCATCACTTGTGGTGTATTTGGCG